GTACCTTTAACTTCTAACAAAAATCCAATCAAGATTTTTCTTGTTTAGTTGATTCTTTTTCTTAGGCATTCTTGACTCGTCTTGGATTAAAGCATTGTTATCTTATCAGCAAGTAATTACTTTCCAGCCACGCCCGGTGGTTAGCCGCCCATGACACCAAGTTCAACATTTTTATGTGGTACACCAGGTGGCAAACCAATGACATGAAGGATCAGGTTATATAGTTGGGGATGTAGTTTCAGGTTATATAGTTAGGGAAAACCCCTTAATAACAATGTACTATCAAATTAATATCAATGTATTTCACTTTTTGATAACTTGTTTGACATGATGTTATTGGATCAAATTGATTATTTTGGTATATATTTGTTTCCATATTTTTGTATTATGCGTAAATGAATATCGTAAAGGCACGTCGTAAATGCATATCGTAAATGGCTGTTGAAGTTTATGACACACAAATGCGTGTCATCTTTATTTATGACAGGGGCTTTAATGATACGCAATGCGTGTCATAAACGTGTGTCGTAAAGTTATGACACGCAAATGTGTGTCGTCTTCCTTTATGACAAGGGCTTCCTTGATACGCATTGCGCGTCGTAAATGCGTGTCATAAATGCGCGTCGTAAATGTGCGTCGTCGATAGACGACGCGCAAAAACGTGTCATCTCTCGTTATGACAGGGCCTTCCTTGACACGCATTTGCGCGTCGTCTGAGCGTTTTACGACATGCATTGCGCGTCGTAAAAGGCTGTTTTTCTAGTTCCAAGCTGCTATCGGTTTCGCCACAGAGTTCCGTCGTTCCAATCCTGTAGAGTTGTGAATGTAATCGAGGCCATGAGTGAGATCAGCTGCAATCTGAATTTGCGACATCCAATCGGAAAGTGTGAAGAACTTACCTGTTCCGTCTACTTCTATCCTAGAGCCGACGATTTAGGGCCTTACAACTTCTCATCCGACACAGCGCCGAAGATGTTGCTCGTGATTTTTTGTCATTCTTACAAGCCCTAGCTCGGATTGAACTAAGGTATGCTTTCCTTCTTGCTCCGGTTGTTCTGGTTGCACAGATGGTAGTTGTAGTGGCTTTCATGGTGCTCGTTACCATCTTATGATTGTCCAGTGTATATTTTCTTCATGTCAATTTTACAGCCTAAACCTAATTTGAGTTTTTGTTCATCATTACCATCTACATATATAATAAGGGATTCTAAATTTACAACACATCAGAGCAACGGATACAGTGTTGGTTGATAAACCTGGCTACAAGGCTTTCAGGCTTTGGAACTAAAGAATGTGTTAAAGTCTTCCACAAATGAAATGCAAATGACTCATTAACAATCTTTCTATACAAACCATCTTCATCACCTCTTTCAACATTCGTTATATGTGCTTTGAAATATCTATTTCATAAACGAAAACCAAAAAACAAGTATCAAACTGCATGTAAAATGAAGAAATATATTAAGTAAGCACATACATACCTTGTAATATTCTTACGACTTATAGGGAAGAAAGCCGAATAGGGTTGAAGATTCAGCTCCATTTGATTCTTGACATGATTTTCTTCATGAAGAAACTTTATCCTTACTCTGCTTAAAAGATCAGCTACATTCCTCCTTAAGCTGGTTTCATCATAACTTGCATATAACTCCTTCAAACACTCCATTATAAACGGACTGTATACAATAATTTCCAAAACATTATCAAATATAAAAACAGAAATAAACATGTAGTTAATTTTGAAATTTTGTTAATTTGTTACCTGTGTTTTCTAAATGCCATCACTGCTCCATTTAAGTGACTTCCTGATGAATAATCCTTCATCACCAGGAAAGCAGAGGCAACTCGGTAAGATGTGAGAACTAAGATTTACCAAAAAATTATATACATGAATAATTTTTATATACAAGAAATTTTATGATGAAGGATCTATAACATGAATACTATCCCTCTTCTGTGTAAAAGCAATGGCAAAACATGTTTAAGTTATAACTATTTTGTTTTCTTTTGTTTTATTCATATTAACATTCAACCTTACAAGTATTATGACACAGCAGCCTACCTTGTATTACCTGTACTTCTTGTTCTTTCTCAGTAAGTATCAATGGAGATCATGAAGCCACCCCAAGTTAGAGAATATAAACACAGATCCTCTTCTCAACCATCAGAGTCCTCTGGTGCTAGGTTTGTCTTTTTTTTTTTTATAAATATTATATTTTTTTATGTTAGAATTAATTTGGTTTGAAATATGAAAATAGGTTTAAACAACTAAAGGAAGAAGAAAAGAGAAAATCAAATAAGGCACTGCCTGAATGGTGGTTGTTTCCAAGGTCTTCATAAGCTTTTTCTGTTGTTGTGGTTAACAGGTACAGCAAGGAGTATCCTTTTAAAGGAATGGACATTGTCATGGGAGCATGGCTATTTCTCAGCTTGTTTCATCACTTGAAGTACTTGGTGAGTATAATAAATCATTATATATTTTCTTATGGTATTAAAATCTGTATGAAATGAAATGTGAATCTATTACTATTATTATTTGTTTTTACCATAAATGATGGTGTTTGGTTATGTTTGAAGTATTATATAGTGTATGGTATGGTAGCCTTATTGCCTTTTTGCTTTTTTGCCTTAGCCTTACTTCTTCTTCTTTTAATTTTTATGCCTATGGTTATCGTATAATATTGAAGGCTTACAGAAAGTAGGAGATAAATCACGTTGTCTGTTATGGGAGGCAAATGGCAATATGTATTTGAAAAATTAAGGAAGTAATGTAGAAAGATGGAGAGATATGGTAAAATCTTAGAGATTCACTATTGAGAGATATGCTTTATTGCCTATATGATTTTTCCACTTGTTCTTATTGCTATTAATTCTTGACATTTTTCCTTTCCTAATAGATGCAATTGTACTTGATTAGCTATGAGCGCTGGTGTATTCTAGATCTCAGGTTTCTTTGATGAAAGTATCCCCCTGACAATCAATTATTTGGCAGAAAACATGACAAGTGAAGAGAGGAGGCAGAATTACTTGTGTGACATCACATACGTCACCAATAGTGAGCTTGGTTTTGATTACTTAAGAGACAATCTTGCCATGGAAAGTAATTTATGCTATACGCAGACTTCAATAATATTCTCTTATACCATTCATTTTCACTTATAACTTCTTCTCTTGGTCTACAGAGTGTTGATGAGCTTGTATTAAGAGGCTTCAATTACTGTGTCATCGATGAGGTCGATTCAATTCTAATTGATGAAGAAAGAACTCCTCTTATTATATCGGGACCCGCTGAAAACCCAAGCGAACAATACTACAAAGCTGCTAAAATAGCTGCTGCTTTTGAGCGAGATATACATTATACAGTCAGGATTCAGAAAGAAAGATGGTTGAAAATATGCATCACATGTATTTTTTCTTTTCTTTTCTTTTCTAATGTGCATCTGCCACTTGGCTATTTTGTTGCAGGTTGATGAGAAGCAGAAAAATGTTTTACTCACAGAACAGGGTTATGCAGATGCTGAGGAAATTCTAGAAGTAAAGGATCTATATGATCCTCGAGAACAGTGGGCCTCATTTGTCTTGAATGTAATAAAAGCTAAAGAGCTCTTTCTCAGAGATGTCAACTATATCATACGAGCCAAAGAGGTTCTCATAGTGGACGAATTTAGTGGTCGAGTCACGCAGGTAAAGGATATCAATTTTTAGTTTGTATATAATATGTACATATCTTGTTTCCAGGTTGGAAGTAAATGAGCTGTATTTTATTGTGTTGCAGGGGAGGCGTTGGAGTGATGGGCTTCACCAAGCGGTGGAAGCCAACGAGAGCTTGCCCATACAAAATGAGACAGTGACACTGGCCTCAATTAGCTACCAAAACTTCTTTCTTCGGGTTCTAAGCATCTTTCTTTGTGGTCTGACGAGTCAAGTTGTTAATACTTGTTGAAGCTAATGGGATTTTTACCTTTGTAATAGTTCCCAAAACTTTGTGGCATGACTGGCACCGCTGCAACTGAGAGTTCAGAGTTTGAAAGCATTTACAAGCTCAAAGTTACAATTGTGCCCACAAACAAGCCTATGATTAGAAAGGTTCATTAATTTGAAATATTCCACGTGTTTTTTTTTTCTTTTCTTCATGAAATGGATATTGAAAAGGAGTGATGTGATGTTTAGGATGATTCAGACGTGGTGTTTAGGGCAACCACAGGAAAATGGCCGATGGTGGTTGTAGAAATTTCTAGAATGAACAAGACAGGGCGGCCTGTGCTTGTTGGGACAACCAGTGTTGAACAGAGTGACACATTGTCCAAACAACTCCGTGAAGCTGGAATCCCTCATGAGGTGATTGATTGAATCCTATTCCTATCTTGTTTTTCTACAAGAAGAAGAACAACTTACTTAGGTATAAATGATAAAATGAATAATACACTCACATTATATTTTATATTTGGAACAACTTAGGTTCTAAATGCCAAACCAGAAAATGTTGAAAGAGAAGCTGAGACTGTGGCACAAAGTGGTCGCCTTGGGGCAGTTACTATTGCTACAAATATGGCGGGCCGGGGAACCGATATAATTCTTGGTGGTAATGCAGAGTTTATGGCTAGGTTGAAGCTACGTGAGTTGCTCATGCCAAGGTAATAATACAACAAAATCTGTTTTTGTTTTTAGTTCCTTAAACAATTACTATTGCTATCTGTTAACATCTCTTCTCGTTCGCATAGGATAAAGCCATCCACAGGTCTCTTTTGTTTTTCCTTTTTTACCCTTTTAGAACATAAAACACCATGTAGACTTACCTGTTTCAAAATCCATTTGAGGCCACTCTCATACATACCATGTGTATTATTAATTAGTTGATATTGATATTGTACAACTGATATGATTATTGTGTAGGATTTCCGTGTTGTTTTTGATCAAGAGTTGGGATTGATATTGAAGCTAAGAGACATGATGATTGGTTGGATACATGAAGGGTTTCAGAGCTTCTTTAGACAGATTAATGATGAGTTACTGAAACAAGAAGGTGCCCCTTTATAGCAATGTAGTATTAGGTTATATAGTTAGTGAAAACCTCTTAATAACAATGTACAATCAGATCCCTTTAATATCAATGTATTACAATTTTTTGACATGATGTTATTGGATGAAATTGATTGTTTTGGTATATATATTTTTTTATATATTTTTGTATTAAGCGTAAAAGAGTATCGTTAAGGCACGTCGTATATGCATATTGTAAATGGTTGCTGAAGTTTATGACACGCAAATGCGTGTCATCTTCATTTATGACAGGGGCTATAATGATACGCAATGCGTGTCCTAAACGCGCGTCGTAAGGTTACGACACGCAAATGCGTGTCGTCTTCCTTTATGACAAGGCCTTCCTTGATACGCATTGCGTGTCGTAAATGAGCGTCGTAAATGCGTGTCGTAATTGTGCGTCATAAATGCGCGTTGTCTATAGACGACGCGCAAAAGCAGGTCGTCTCTCGTTATGACAGGGCCTTCCTTGACACGCATTTACGCGTCGTCTGAGCGTTTTACGACACGCATTGCGCGCCGTAAAAGGCTGTTTTTCTAGTAGTGACAAGATCCCAAGCCTTAAATAAAACGGAGCATATCTCCATCAATGTGCAGCTAACCCGATCAAACTCCCAAATTTGGAGGAAGAATTACAAAATCACCCATAACGAGTCAGAACCCTGATCAGATCTACCCAAAATGCCAATCCTGCCAACGTGACATCCAAAACCAAACTCTGCATAGACCCAAGGTCACACCAAAAAAAATTAAACAACGTCGCTCCGATATCCGAACTTTCAATAACCAAGGACAGCTGCCAAAATCGATCCTGCTAGAAACAATAATTCCATAACCATACAACCAAGGGTCCACACACCCAGAAACCTATATATACAATTAATAGAACTTGTCGAAAGGTTGATGCCTATCTGCACCTTCAACTAGTACCGCTCTAAACCCTCGAACAACCTCAACTAATGACGATAAACAAAATAATCAAACGATCGAACATAGATCATCAGACTAAACCAAATGATCCCATGTACTGCTGAACAAAGCTCACGCGAAAATACACATACCGAACCCTGAAGCTGGTCGACAGATCAACAACTGCCCATCCTTGACCACAGACAACCGACCCATACCGCGAGCTGACCATGCTCTCCATACCCGATACACAACCTGAGTGAATTAAACGCTTCTCTACAAAGATCCTTGGTGCTCCCGAAAGGAACTACTAACCACATTGAGTCCCTTCCCCCAACAACTTTCTGTTGTGAAGACAACTCATGCATCCCTGAAGACATAAATATGACGGCAACTCGTTCTGCAGTCACGAACTGACCAATTTTTGAATTCTCTGTAACGCCCGGTTCCCGATACGTATTTTAAGTATGAGTTTTGCATTTTTATACTAGGAATCGACGAGTTGAGGCCCCAAACTCGTCGAGTAGGGGCAAATCTTGGACGTGGGTGGAAGAGTCTACTCGATGATCCAGAAGCCCCGACTCGACGAGTAGATCTGTCTGAATGAAACCCTAAATTTTAGGGTTTTCACCCTATTTAAACACCTTATATGGCCTCCACTCCAGCCTCCATCACCCTCAGACCCTATTCTCGAAACCCTAATCAGATTGTGAATGTTCTTGAGCTATTTTGTGCCATTTTAGTGACTTGAAGGTTGGAGAAGGAAGGAAATGTTGGGTTTTGAGCATTCTAACACTCCTATTGTGTACATGCAACCCTATGTGCTTTGGATCTATGTTTTCTCTATTATACATGCATACATTCAAAATTCCAAAGCAATATCCTAACTAGCATACAATGGAGTATCTATACTACAAAAGTCTAGTTAGATGACATACCTTTTGATGGAGCTTGAAGTCTTGAACCTTTAAGAGCTTAGTGCCCCAAGTGTTGCACCTCAAATGGAATCACACAACACCACACACAATTGGAATGACTTGAGAAGAGGTTACTTGGTTCACTCTATGAAATCGACTTTGCCCTCTTTGTGTCTCCACTAGTGCCATTTCATGAACCATGGGTCCTTTATATAGTGTGGCTCATTTAGGGTTACACCATGTAAACCCTAATGTGCATGAATTTCCATTTCCTTCATGATCCATGGGTTTTAACCTCCATGGAGTATCCATGAGTTACCACATGGGTTAAGCCCAACATGAATGACTATGGATCACACGCCCACATATATAAGAATGAATGATTTACATAATCAATCCCCATATATTTAATTAGTCTCTTTTGATCACAAAA